CTTCATTAACATTTTAAACTTGTTTTTTATGAAGCATAAATTTGCTGGTGCTTGGTTTATAGAAATCAGTCTTTCAACTCCTAAATCCTTAAAATTCCTGATTTGCTCATATATTATTTTTCAGGGTGGTGTTAAAGCTATTAACAATTAGACAGTCAAAGTTCAATTTCTAATGAATTTTTTATCCACTTAATTCATTATATTTTAATTAATATAAGCAAATTAAAATTACATTTTCCTTTTGTTATACACAGTGAGCACAAGTGAGTATTATAACCCAATTTCTGTTTTGGTGCCAGCTGGAGCTATTATCAAGGAGTTTATGTGGACTTAGTTCTAACAATTAATTGTGTATAATAATAGTCCTAGGAGTCAAATGATTAGGGGGAAAAACAAACAGAATTAAACTCAATTATCCAAAATTCCAGTTATCCAAAATTAGCATTTATTCCACACTATCTTGTCCATTAAAAATTCTCTTTTTCTTCAATGATTCAGTCATGCCAAGTAAATCTCTCCCTCTTCACCTGCAAACTTCACTTCTAATGTCATTAAAATCCTTGTATATTGGTTTAGTGCCTGGACCTTTTTATTCTTAAAACTGAATTTTTGATATATTAATGTCTGATTCTGCAGTTTCTACTTTTGTAGTGAAAACAATCTGATTAACATTACGAACCTGCTAAATGACATCTGTTGAAGGGGAAGATGGAGAGGATGCTCTCTGAAGATGTCAGAGGGTAGATACCTATAAATGTAGGCATCATGCTTTGTTGCTTTGATAAAAATTGGTTTCATTATAACAAAAACACCTGAGAACACAGAAGACATGTACTTAGTTACCTAAGAAAATGCTCCCTCTGGAATCAGTGGTGCTTCTGAGAAGTACAGATTATACTGTCAAACTCTCCAGCAATGTGTATAAATGGCCTTGAAATATACTAAATCATTTACTCACAAAACAATTCCGCAATATTATTACAATTTTCATTGTTTTGTACGTGTCCAAAGAGAGGTGCAGCAAGATTAAGAAATTTTCACAGAATCAGACAGCCTGTAATTAGTGGAGATTGGGTTCACACCTCACTGGTTGGCCCCACTGTCTGTCTGATAATGTTGTAAACAGTAATTTATATTCAAATTGCTTTCATTGTAAAATTCATATTAATAATATTTGTAAAATCTATGATGTTCAAACAAACACAGTTTTTTTTTAATGGTACCTATTACACATGTGTGATAGAACTTACCTAGAAATAATTTACTAAGATCACAAAGGATGCTCTTTGGGTATCTATCATAAGTATGTAGATAGATAATCTCAAAAGGGAAAAAAGAGACAACAGTGCTTGATCAATATTTTGTGGATAGACAGATGAACAGCTTTGTGTATATCTGAAGATCGTGTAAGGGGCCTAAGTCATAACACATTCATATATGCAAACCAAAGCGTAGTACTACAGCTAATGGTATTATTGGATTTAAGATGAGAGCTGGCAAATGACACTATCATTTCTTTGAAAGAAATTACATCTATTAACTTAGTTGAAAATCTCCCAGTTACTAAAAATTTTTTTCTAAAACATCTGCAGTCTGAAAAGTCTCTGTAATAGTTTATCAAAAATCTATGACTTCAACACACTGACTCGCATTTGAATGCACGACTATGTGAAGGGCTCGTTATATTTATTAGAGAGCAGGAGTGACAGTTCAGTCGAGCTCATCAGTGACTTCAGGAAGGCCACTTTTGTGCAAACCTGAATTCTTGGCAGACATATGGCAAGTCAAAGCTGTGGTTTATTTGTTTGCTTGCTTGCTCGTTTGCTTGAATCTACAGCTTGTTTCAAGACGTGAAGACCAAGAATGACTTGATTTGTATTGGAGGATTCCGCACAGTTGAAACAGAGTGAGTGGATGTAACTGGATTTCCCATCAGGTTCTTCTGGCCACCCTGTGTAGATGAGAGCTTAATTTAAATTGCCTGTTACCTATTAGTTCATTTAAGCAGATAGGATTTCAATGTCTTGATTTAAACCTTGCTGTTTTCCTAAAGGATGGAGTCTGTCTCCCCATTTCTCAAGTCTCTCTAACTGACCTCTCTCCCTGCTCTTTGTTCTAAAAGCAGTAATCATAGCAGTGGCAAAATTTGAAAAAATCATTATCTCGACAGCTGTGATTCTTTATGTCTCTGTGCATTTTAATTGGCATGTGTAGAGTCCTGTATAATATGGATACATATATGGTTTTCACATTGAATTTTAATTTTTATCTTGAATTTATTTTCTCTTCATTTCTGTCATTTAAAACGGTAAAGAAATTTCTGTGTTACAATTTAGAAAGATCATTTTATAATCTTCATTGTTCTCCCAGATATCATTCTTGGTGAATAAATGTCATATATAAAATCTATTCACCATAAAATTCTGAGAACAAATATATCTCATATTCAGTTACTTTTTAAATCAAATGGAGTTATATAATCATCTAAATAAAAGCTGAACTTACACTTGGCCAGCAACAGAAAGATCCATTTCTTCATTTCAGATCACATTTCTTCAGGGAATATAATTATTCATAATTTTGAAGATGCCTTTATTAGTTTGAAAGGTTTTATGTTCATTACATGTATTAGAAAAGTTTTAGAAGTGGAAGGAAAACATGAAATAGAAAATGTCGCATTGACCTAATTCAACATCTTCAAATGCCAGTGAGGATTTGCTGGTGTTTTTAAACACCTGTGTAATAATGTTGCCCTTTAAATGTAACTGGTTAAATTTTCAAAGCTGTGTCCTGGGATTTTGCCATTTGATGTCCATTAATATCAATTGGAATATGCGGCCAAATCCCTGTATACCACTTTGAAATTTTACCCCTTAGTGTTAATGATAGTCTTCTAACAGTGCAGTTAGAAATAAATTATTTATTTGCTTAGTTCAAGTTTCCTTTAGTCTCCTGGGTAAAGTAAATAAGAGAGGAAAAAGAATTCCAATATTTCTGTGTTAGTTCAAAGTAACATGTATATAAAGAACCCATTGGCTTAGCATGTATTGAGCATGTCTCCTATTATACAGTTAGTTATCTATCTGAAGGTCTAAGTTGTGGATTTTTTTCGCTTTTATTCATGGCTGGATTTCTTTCTATAATAGCTGCAGTAATAGCACACCTGTTATATGTATGTAGATTCATATAAAACTTCTCACTATAAATTCTATTGGCTACTATATTAGTCTTTTTATGATCAAAACGTACATGCTGAAAAGGATTCACTGGTAAACACATTGACATAGAAATAAAATCCTCTTCTGGATTTTCTCTTTTGCCTTAGCTTAGTACCTTGTATTCTAAATTCCTGTTGTGAAATTCTGAAGTGTAAGCATTGAATATTCTCAAGGAACCTTTTGGGTAACAAAAACAAGAAGACAGTGCTGCACGCACTTTTAACAATAAGTACAAAACATCAGTTTTGCATAGGCTTAGTTTTATATGAAATTAATGTTTACATGAACATTGTAAATAGAAAACTATTGATTTTTAAAAAGAATTTATCTGAAAGAGCAGCTTTTGGTTCACAGAAAAATTGAGAAGGTACAGAGATTTCTCATACACCAGCTTCTCCATATATGTCATCAGTATACCTCACCAAAATGGTACATATGTGGAAATGGATAAGCCTATATCAGTACATCCTTGTCAATCAGAGTCTACAGTTTACATCAGGGCTCACCCTCATGCTTTCCATTCTGTGAACTTGGTTAATATGTAACACTCTGTAATATCTCACAATATTTTCACTCTCCTAAAATTCCTCTGCTCTGCCTACTCACCTCTCCTTCCCTTCTCTCTCTTCTCCCCAACTACTGAAGGTTTTATTGTCTCTGTGATTCTCCTTTTTCCTGACTGCTGTTTTAGTAAGAACCATAGAGAAGGAAGAAGAGGAGGAGGAGGAGGAGCCAGTTCAAATTAAAAGCCATTGACTTCAAGGAACTTTCTATGTTCTTCTTTGAAGTAAACTCTCCTGATAGCTATGTTTTGTGAAGGTGGAAGTGATGAGAATACTGGGCCAGTTGCTTATTTGTGTTATTTGATGAACTCTGGTTTAAGACAAAATCAAATCAAATTCTTACAAAATTAAAAATGTCTTTAATTCAGAAAGGGCCTTTAATGGACCACTAACTTGAGTGATCACCAGGAATATCAAATTATATTCCTCAGTTATAAAAGAATTAATTCACTTTGGGATGTAGTTGAAGCGCCAAAGCAGTTTTAGGACAATACTGCAATGTGTTCTGTCCATCTCTGCAGTTTTGTTTCTGTCTGTTTGATTAGAGAAGAGTACACTGCTAATGTCTGAATAATTAAGAAATATATGGATAGGTATGATATAAAGACATATGTATTCAAATTAGGGAGTCAGATCAATTCTCTTTAAATTTATTTCAATCTAACACATGAAGAATTATGTCAGGCTCCCTGTGCACCTTCAAACTGTAGAAAACCCATGTGCACGGCAGTGTGGAAACTAAGTCGCTCAGCACCTTGCTTGTTTTTACAGCTTCTACATTCACACCAGCTGCTTTGTACTTTGCAGAAACATAACAGCGTTGTATGTCTATTTGCGTACTGTATGAGATTGTTTCTCTTTTATAAAACTTGCTGTGCATTGGTTCTTTTCTAAAACAGATGCTTAAACATTGCATACAATCTTAAGAATTCACACATTACTGTATATCAAACTGTAATTTGCATGTATTTTGTGTAAGAGTTCTAAGCTTGCCATATCCACTTAGTAACTTGTCTGGATTCACTAATTGAATCAAAGTCCTTAAGATAAATCCATATCCATTGACTTTGAAACAAAATGATTGTACATTGTGTGTACCTCTTAGAGATAAAGAAATTTGAAATGTGTCTAGTAAAATGCAGCCTTGTGTAACAGTAAACAGAAGACAATGTGTACCGGTGGCAGGAGCACCAACGGCTTCATTCCTTGTTTTCTGCAGGAACCGCCATCAGACCTATTGCTTTGCGAGCAGTCTCCGCCATTGCACGTGCTTTGCCTGGGTTTCCCATCTTGGCCACAGGTGGAATTGACTCAGCTGAAAGTGGACTCCAGTTTCTCCACAGTGGTGCTTCAGTCCTCCAGGTAGGACTCGTGTTTTTCCTTTACAAAAGCTTCGTTAACAAATACAAGCACATTCACGGACAGCAGCAACCATTAAGTTCCCCTTGTGAGCCGGAACAAATCTGAGGTTCATTTCCTGTCCTACAAAAGAGAGCTTGTGAATGTTTTCCTAGTGTATTCATTCACCTATCCGTCTCTAAAATAAATGAGACCAGGTACCAGATACAAGCTATACCCTACTGGATAAAAACAATTATGGTGCGAAAATCTGGGTAAAATGAGATCCCCATGCAGAAATAAAAAGGAACAGAAGATAAGACCAAAACACGATCTGCCACAAGGCCCCAGAGGGATTACCATATTCGGCCCTTAACTTCCTGACAGATGAGAAGTTATTGGCTTAAAACTTTCAAAAATACAGAAGCAAATTTGTTATTCAACTTTTTAGGTTCAAAAACTGGAGAAAATTCTATCTTTTCACATTGGGATACAGTCAATTATATTCTTAGTAACATCTGTACTGATAATAAAAATTTAGTAACATTTTACTTTATTTTCCCTTCTTTCCTGAGACTGGCCTTGAACTCACAATCTTCCTGACCCTGAATGCTGGATTACAGGCTAGTGCCACCAAGTTCAGCTTTAATTGTAGTTATACATGTGTTATGTATTGTTCAAGACGATCTAGTACTCTTAGGACATTTTAGCATAAGCATTTCTCTGTGGGGCCAGCAATGCAGGTTTGGGGTCTAACTAAACTCAACAATAAATATTTGTATATAAAGACTGTACCATCAATTTCCTATAATGCTCTGCTAGTATGACTTGTTGCTACCTATTCATAATGATAATTGGAAAGCAAGTCTTAACATCATTTAAATTCAATGCCCAAAAATGTAGACTACAAATATCTTGTGCTGTTAATTCAACAAATGCAATTAAGAGTGTCTTATGAATGATAGACAATCTAACATAGTAATACTATGTATCAGATGCTAATGAAAGAGGAATTCTTAAAAAATGAATGCACCTACTTTTCCCCAATACTTCAAATAAGCACAGCTAAAAATCTTTATGTAGAAACTAATATAAACACACTCTGGAAAGTGCACAGAAGTCAGGACTGGCTAGGAGCCTCAACACCCAAGGAACAAGTCAGGAGTTTTCCAGTTGGTTGATTTGTTTCTACATGCCACCCCTAGAACCAGAAGGTAGCAACTCAGAAGTATCAGGTGCAGGCAGGAAAGCTTGTTCTCCCTAGCCAAAGAACCAAGAAAGAAGCAGGCTGGTAAGACAGAAAACCTACACTAGGAGCTCGTCAACATTAGCCAGAGATCATGCATAAAAATTGTGTTCCCACATCCATCTATGCAAAGTGAAAGTATGATTCCTGGATCTTCACTCTCACTAGACACTAGTGCCAAGATGAGAGAGGTGTGAAAATAGACTGGTGAAGATTTTAATGTAGTCATAATAAAGTTTCATCAACATCCCTATTGGGTGAGGGTGATCTCCCCTAGGGAATTCCCACCAGAGAATAATGAACAGCCCTCTCAGGTTTGATGTCAGAGAAGTCTAGTAGAGAGTGAGAATTTTCATCTCCACCCTTTGGTTATAGAACTATTGTCCTTTTCTTCTTCCTGTGGTGTCAGTGAAGCCAAAGTTAAGCATTAGCGAAAATGCAGTCCTGCCTTTCCTGTGTAAACAGGGAATGTGCCCGTGGACTCTCAATGGGAAGCCAGAATCTCCATCCATCCTCTAATCACAACAAGTAGTTCTGTCCTGTGGGCATCTGTGGAGGTCAAGCAGAGACCCTGTACACACAAATTTTAGCCCAGACTTGAGGCTTACCCCTGTAATCACAGAACTTAAAAGGTTGAGGCAATAGGACCTCAGTTTGAAGTTAGCCTGGGCTACATAATAAGACCTTGTCTCAACAACAACAACAAAATTTCGAAATAAAAATTATTAAAGTGTCTCAATATACTACTCCACAAGTTACAGTATCAGGAAAAGACATCATGGTACATGATAAAATACCGCTGATAGAAACCAATGCCAAATAATAGATTTTCAAATTGTCTGACAAAATTTCATTAACAAACCATTAGAAACATTTTTAAAATAAATGAAAAAAATAGTAGCTTACTAAAGAAAGTGAAAATATAGAGCAAAACAAATGGAAAATTTAGGACCTAAAGACTCTGATAACTAAAATAAAAACAATTTGCTCAGCAACATAATGGAGAGAGAAGAAAATTAAACTCAATGAATGAGAAAATAGCCAATCTGAGCACTGGAGGAGGGGGAGTTAAAAAAAGGATCAGAGCATCAGAACCGTGAAGTTTTATTACAAGATCAAACAGGTTCTCAAATCGAAGAGATGTGTAAGAAAGTCAAGATGAAGTTTGAAAAACTTGTAAGCCCACAGATTCCAAGGGAACAGAAAGCCAAGAGAACCCGAACAGGATACATCAAAAGAAATTGATAACGAAATATGTCAAATATGTCATGTCAAAATTCTGGGAACCATAGACAAAGAAAGAACCTTCCAAACAGGAAGAGGAAATGATAGCGACTCTAAAAGAAGCAAGCCATTGTTAAGAACAACAGATTTCTCACAAGAATCGTGGAGTCCAGAAGGAAATGAAGAAGTATTTTTCAAGACTGAAAGGAAAAGACCTGTTGATGTAGCATCTTATCATCTCAGGTATGAGATGATAAATGAAGGCCCACTGCACTGAGGGAAAACTAAGAGCATGGACTGCCAGCAGATCTTATCTAAAAGAATGGATGATTATAAATTCCCCAAGAAGAAAAGAAATTATAAAAGATGGAAAGGTTGATGAGATGGCTCATCAGGAAGGCACACTTTGTGTCAAGTTTCACAATCTAAGTTCAATCCCTGTGTCTCACATGGTAGAAAGAGAGAATAGACTCCCACAAGTTGTCCTCTGACCGCTACATGTGCACCATGGTAGTGCATGTGCTCAAGACACGGTCTCTCTCAATCTCTCTCTCTCTCTCTCTCTCTCTCTCTCTCTCTCTCTCTCTCACACACACACACACACACACA